AATTATCCCATAAATGTTTTTACTCCTATACCATCATTTGGGTGTTGGTTTATATATGCATGTGGTGGGTGACAGCCATCCAGTTCACCTTCCTCCTATCCATCCCTTGCAGGGGACCGAGTTCTCATACTGATCCCTGCACTCAGTAGTTGCTGTGTGCTGACATTCTGCTGTATCCGGACGCAAGAGCTGGTCCGGTTTTTGGGCACTGTGATAGGTCGAGTGGCGGCGACACCCAGTAGGCGGAGCCCGACTGTTGCGTGTCCCCATTGGCTGGCCGCGCCATCCCGCCCTCCCATGGTTTCCCAGACTGACACCAGACATGGCCGCATTTACATATGATGACGAGCCTTTATGACACGTCTTTCATTGGCTATTTGCACTTTAAAGGTGGTAAGGAGGAAGGTGACGTTACGTTCTGACGAAGGGGGCGTGCCCCGGAAACGCGTTAACGTCACCAGCATACAGGAATCGTTCAGTGGATGCACACTGCCTGTCAGCTTATATTTCATCTAATGTTTGTGAGTACGTTTTTGTTTTTATCTCATGCTTACTGAAATAAAATTGACCTGCACCAGGAAAGGCGCCCCCTTGTGTTTACTTCATAGATCTACAGCTTTCCCGATATTTCCTCTCTGTATGTAGCCCCACCCTTCTTCCTGTGTGCAGTACTTCCTGTGTCATGGCAAAGCTAGCAAGCCACATGTAACAGGACACACATATAATCTGCACAGTACGGAGGAAAGGCATCATTTTCTGACCGCACAATACTATAACCGTTCAACTGCTGTTCCTATCATCTGCTGTAACCTGATGTAAAGAATAAACACCTCTTTTGAATGAATCGGTATTGACGAGTTCAGCTATCTGAAGAGGACTGTCCGCAGTGAGTATATCTGCTTATACAGGCCAGGCATAGAGGTCTAAGCAAGGGATATATTTCGCTATCACAACGATCGGAGCATGACTAAGTTTTGTATTGTATGCTGTATCCCTATCATGGAAAAACATACTTTACAATGATAATTATTTAGAGGTTAATGTCCTACCCTCCTTTGTTAACAGTTATCGAAGTTGGAGTGCACAGCTTGGCTGCACTGTGTGTCTAGCAAAGTAATATTCTCCAGAATCCTCTGTATTCACATTACTGAGTTTTATATAAACATTTCCTTTACTGGTGTCTCTCGTTATTGCAATTCGTCTCTTCAATGACTGGGCATAATATAAATCTCCATTATATGTCATGCGACCGATCCACTCCAGGCCCTTTCCTGGAAACTGTGGTACCCATTCCACACTTCAAATCTTGCTGCTGCCAGTGATAGAGGCTCCTGTCATGGTACATGCTACATCCAGAGCCTGCGCTGGCTTCACAATGCTGGGACCAGACTCTACTAGTGACACCTGGGAGTTCACATCTGTAAAGAGCCAGAAGAAAATCACATACCAATATAATGAAAATAAAGAACACATTTTTAAAAGATATGAAATAGGCTTACGATGTGCTGAGAAGACCACATAGAGTACACTGAGGAGACTCTTCATTCTGAAAAAAAGTGCATGTAGTCACTGGGCAAAGTAGTCTTCACAGACTGGGTCTCTTCACTATTTCCGTGCTTTGTACAATTTCCATTTGCATACTAAGCTTGGATTCACCAAATACAAATAGGTTTTTCCTTTAAGTTAAACCTTTAAACGTTTTAAATGTTATGAATCTATAATTTTTTTTTTAGCATCACCAGGCTTAAACAAGTGCTGATAATGACTGCAATGACGTCTTCACATTTACAGGCACTTATATCTCCTCGTAGAGGAGGGAATGTATAGTGATTTTGCTGATATTTTCTTTAGTTAACAAGGAGACTAAAAAATACAAAATAAAAAAGTTAATATTTTTGTTTAGTCAGGTAAGTAAGACATAATGCATAGAATACTGTATATCCCTCCATAAAGCCAGTAGGTGGAGCTTTAGGGTAGTTCTCACATATTTCTCTGTCTCCTTACCGCCTGTTGCAAAAAGCCTCTTACTTACAGACCTTAATAGCTCAGGCTGAATCCTAAATACAACACATCGCATTGACAGTGATATTTTAGTGGATGGCTAAGTTATAAACAGACATAGCAAGTCCAAAGGTAGCTGTCTCTTTAGTTAACCCACATTGCTCTAGGAATCTTTTGTAATGTATTCAATGTTTATAAAAAAAAAGAAGATTGAATATAGATAAAATGTTTTAACATAAAAAGATTAAATAAAATTGAAAACTACTATAGTTTTCTTCTCAGTGGAGTTTAAGGACCCTCTTTACGTGATTTCCTCTATCTCCTTACCACCTGTTGCAGAAAAACAGTTGTTTACATTGGGGGATTTTCTTCATAGTTGTTCCATTAAGCTATCTGATGAGGAAGCCACCAACAGTTCCCAGCATACCTTGACCATGTTGGCTTTTCTTACTCATATTCACTATCAATGCCTTTGCAAGGCCCTGAAAATACCATAGAGTTCAGGCCATTGTCAACTTGGGTGCATATACCTGTTTCCTGAATGAATCCTTCTCCTATAAATTAGACCTGACCCTTTAAATCCATGTACTTCCTATCCAAATGGCTCAGCCATTACTATGACTCAGGACCTATTACTCGGGAAACCTACCCACTTCGGACCACAGGGTCATCAGTAGTACCTCTGTTTTGACATAATACCATCACCCGTGTTTCTTGTTATTCTTGGAATACCCTGGTTACAGTCCCACAAACCCAACATTTAATGGACCTTGGAACAGGTCTTTGTTTCTGCTTACCACCCTAGTTTTGCTTGTCCAACCCTAGAAGTCTCCTCTGTATGGATTTGGACAAGAAGGAAAACATTCCCCAGGCCTGCCATGACCTTCTTGATGTCTTTGATAAAGAGGCAGATACTTTCCTTTTCACATCATATCTACGATTTTGCCAAATAATTTCTTCCCAGAGCTGATATCCCATTCAGTAATATATACCCCTATCTAAACTCGAGCTAATTACTCTAAAGCACTACCTGGCATAAGGCAGTACAGGAGAAAGTTTAAAGATAAGATTTATCCAGCCATCCATCTCTCCTGCAGGGGCAGGGGAGATGCAGGTAAGGGTAAAATGCAGGTAAGGGTAACCAGAATCTATAGCTCTATTGTGCCCCACGCTCCCTTTAACTATGTATTGTGCTCCCTTTAAATATGTATTGTGCAACACGCTCCCTTTAACTATGTATCATCTACCATGCCCTTAATAAAATAACCATCAAGAATTGATTACATGCTTCCACTTGTTCCAAATCTCTTCCAGGATCTCCAATTTGCCCATATTTATATCAAGCTGGATCTCCATTGGGGTGTACAACTTGATCTATATCAAAGAAGGAGATGAGTGAAAGACAGCCTTTCCTACCCGGTTCAGGCACCTTGAGTATCTTGTGATGACCTTCTAGCTCTGCAACATCTTGGCTGGCTTCCAACATTCTGCAAACAACATATTTACAGGGATTTTATATATATCTTCACAAATTCATTTGGGGCTTCTTCTCTGACCCGGCTCACAAGCTCAAATACTCCCTTTTCTTGGTCATGCGAAGCCCAGTCTGCTTTTCATAAATTAAAGTCACTGTACACCTCTGCTGGGTGCTATCTTGAATTACCCTGACACTGTCTTGCCCTTTTTGGAGGTATTGTAGATGCGTCTGAAAAACATAATAGGAGCTATTCTGTCTTAGCGTTCTGGTCCCAAGGCCCTATTGTACCTAGTCATGTTATTTTCATGTAAAATTAGCCCAGGTGAGAGGAATTACAACATCAGTGACAGGGAGCTGGTGGGCATTAAGGTGACTCTAGAAAATTAGACAGTCCATCCAGTTCTTAACTGACCACAAAAATCTTAAATACTTGAGGACTGTCAAGTGACGTAGTCCACATGGGCTCTCTTCTTTTGTCGATTCAATTTCCACCTGACCTTCCAGCCTGGGTCCAAACACGGGAAAATCATTCTACTCACATGGGACTGAGTAATATAGGCTTATCAAAAAATCTGCCCCTACACAGGGTCTCCACTTTAGACTGACACTCCTATGCAGGTAAGGGTAACCAGAATCTATAGCTCTATTGTGCCCCACGCTCCCTCTATCCCAACTCATTCTGAAGTTTTCATCTGCTTCACTTGGGGGGAAGGGGGGAGCTTATTGAACACTACTCCACCACTATTATATTATCTACAATTTAACCCTATTATGTACATGCAACATCCAAGATAGAAGAAAAAAATACAGGTAGGGATGTTCAGATACCAGGCCGATACTTGGCATTTTCAGAAGAACTACCAGGGTTGCAGCGGTTGCAGCTGGAACCGGGCACTGGCGCTCCACCACTGTCCTGAAATCATTAGTCTGTATTGTTTTAGAAAAACTGACATGACAATAAACACAAATGTATCAATACTTGTATCTGTGAGTACTTGGACAAGTATCAGTACCGGTGCATCACTTATATATATTTTAAAAAAAAATCATACATTAAAACAGAGATATACAAATCCCAGGAGCTCTGTGTGCTCCTTACAAACCACAGCTGCCTGCTAACTTTTGAATTTTTCTCTAGTCTAGTCTTGGAGCTGGAACAGTATCTGTACATGTACGAGTACGATACATGGTATCTGAACATCCCTAAATACAGGTATAGACCTATAACTATAGAAGACCCAGAAGTCTTGTGGAATCATCATCAAACAGCACCAATTAAAGGGGCACAATAAGAACAAAAATATTATTAAAAAGTGTGCAAAGTATTAAATATTATAAATAGCACTTAGTACGTTCTGAAAATCCCCTCCCCTTCCTTCCCCCTTCTTCAGTTTATTTACAACTTTCCACCACTTATATATTTTCTGTGACTCTGTAGAATAAAATGTTGGCAGTGTTTTATGTTGCATCATATTACCACAACTGTTACCAAACTCAACTTTCGGTAACTTTTTTAATTTAACTTAATTTTTTAAAACTTTGTTTTTTTTAACTTAACTTTATTGCTATATATCACATAAGGGATACATGGAGGTGGTGGGAGGCAGGTGGGGGAAAGAGCACGTTTGACTTTACTTTAATTGTAAAGCCTACAGTTGGCATTACACATGGAAACAGACTACAGACAACTTACAGTTACTTGCTGCCACGGACGCATGGTATATGTCGATGGCAGCAAAAGGGCTAAAAAGGGCCCTTCCAAACTAAAGGCCAATATCACTTAACAATTTTTGACATATTACCTTTATTAACCACCTCCCGGCCGGCGTAAAAAAACGGCCGACCGCTGTGCCCGGTGCGAACCCGGGACCAGCATGGAGGCTCTGTGACAGGGGATCAAAGGTAGATCGGTACATGATCTCCCTCCGATCCCGTCTCCGGTGTCAGAATGCGTAAGTGATGTATATTCCGCATTCTATTACATCAATTCCGCATTCTTCCATATATTACATAACTTCTGCATTCTATTACATCAATTCCGCATTCTTCCATATATTACATAACTTCTGCATTCTATTACATCAATTCCGCATTCTTCCATATATTACATAACTTCTGCATTCTATTACATCAATTCCGCATTCTTCCATATATTACATCACTTCTGCATTCTTCAGAAGCTGGAGAGAAGCTGATGAAGCAGATCTCTGCTTCATCAGCTTCTTTGGGGATCCCTAGGTGACATTAGGGGTGTTGGATACCCCTGATGTCTCCATAAAGAAGACCTGTCACATCCTCTTTGCTATCACATAGAGGGGATTCTTAGCCCCCCATGTAATTACAATAAAGTTAAGAGAAAAAA